AATTATGCTACTGTGAGAAAGCTGAAAAGAAAGACAGAAAGAGTAACAGACAATGCACTTTAAAGAGTATGTAAACATTTGATATCCGTGTTTAAGAAGCAAATCTATTGCAACATTTCTGAAGCTGGGCATTCATCCAGCACAAAGTGAGAATACAAATCTTTGTACATCTTCATCAAATTAACAACAGCCACATAATGTAGTTTTGGTATGCAGGTTTGCTTAAGAAAAAAGATGTAAGCAAACAGACAGATGAAGAATAAAGAAAAAATATATAATCACTAAGAACAGTGGAATTGTTTTAAAATACTGTTAAATGTTTTTTTCAATTATCAGTAAAATCAAAAAATGTCACCATTTATAGAAGAAATTATTGAAAGTATTTATTTTATAATGTTCATGTTATAGAGAGTTTAATATTCTAACTGCTTGACAAATATAACTGTTGCACAATATTTTTTTAAAGTAAACAATTAAATTTGCTAATGACAGGTAAACATGTATTTTTGATGCTGAGTGCTTGGTTATATTCCTTCAAACAGCACTAATCTGATGTAGTAAGCTGGTTTCCTGAGGACAGCTTGTACATGCTCATAGTGCAAGCTGGCGTGTGACGTTTATTCCATAACAGTCTGTGCAGAAACCTGCACTTGTTACTCAAGAGCTGGTTTTTGCAGCTTAATTTGTCGCATGCAGGGAGGCTGATCTTTGTGTGGAGTGAACCAGCTCCTCCATTTAGCCCCCACTGATAGGAAGTCAGCTTTCCATTCCCCATAATTAAGCCCTCCACCTGGCCTTAAAAGCTGTCATCTGGCCGGACTTTTTCTCACTGGGTCGCTCGATTGACTTTTTCCACATATACGTCACGAAACATCTGAGCTCAGCTGTATCTCATTCTTGACTTCATCCTATATTACATCATCTATGCAGGTCTTTTAGACTGTTTTCATATTGATTACTGCAGTCTGCTCAATTCAAATCCTCAGAGAGGCATTAAAGGTGAGCAATTGTTCTTGTTGGAGCTCTTAATTGAGCAGCTGTATTTTAAATGGAATATTACCCGGTATAAACAATGTAAAGTGTTTTAAGACACCCGCACTACAACTGCAAACAGGATGCTTCCATGTCTGAAAAATGTTCTCAATCACATGATAAACTGTTTTGATAAATCTTTCAAGTCTGCCCAAAGTTGTTATGTAGTGGTGGAGGTGAGGAGGTGAGGCAGACGCTGGCAGACCCAGGTAGATGTAAAAGGTGGTTTAATGATGAAAATGTCCAGAAAAACAACAGTCAACAAACAGGTTCGCGGCCAGGCAGCACAGCTGAGCGGAAGCAAGGGCTCACACCGGTAGCAACTGGACAAACAGCACAACAAACGACAACATACGACAAACAACGACAAAACGACAAGGACCCGACCAGTAACAAAGGACACAGGAGGGATTAAATACACTGAGGGCAATCAAGGGAACAAGACACACCTGGGAGTAGTCAAGGGGAAGACAGGAAAAGGAGGAGACTAGGACACAGAGAACTCAAATAAACACAACAGAAAAACATGGAACATGACAAAAGTGTTCCAAAAGTCAGTTCAAAGAAGCTTTTCTTCATGTAATACAATTGTTTAACATTAAAATGCATATTTACATATTGGGCTGCACAGATGATTAGTATTGTTGCCTTGCAGCAAGAAGGTCTGGGTTTGAATCCCAGAACATGCAGGGAGTTTCCATGTTATCCTTGTGCATGAGATTCCTTTTCACAAATTTAGCTTCCTTTGTTTTGAGCTCAAACCATCTGGAGTGTTTGCAGTTGCAAAGCTTAATCTTTGTCTTATCTGACAAAACAGAAAAAAAAATTAAATAAAATGGCACACCTTTATGTTGGCAATGGAAGTACAGAAAATGCCTTTTTCTGACTTGCCTCTTAAATAACAGTTGGCATGAAGATCATGTCTAATTGTTGTTATAGATATTTGGTGACCCCTAAAATGAAATTGAATTTCTCAGTTAGTGTGATGTGGAGGTTCTAGCCACCTCCCCTAACATCATCCTCTTTGATTCACTTGTGAAAATTTTCCAGGGAACAATGTGTTTTAAGCAAACTGGATGAACTTCCCTTGAGTGCCCATTAGACTGAGCTTCCTGTTTGTGTGTGTGTGTGTGAGTCTGTCACTCTCTGAAAGTGTTTCATTTGATGCTTTGTGACAGGAAGAGGCCCTGAATAGGAGCTGAGTCAGGGGATATCAGCAGCTGTTTGAACAAGCACAAAGAACAGGTGGTAGACAGGCAGAGGGACATGTGGCTGCACATACAGCACACCTTTATATATGCTCTATGAAGCATATAAGCCCCCACAGGGTTTATATGCTGCAGGGGTATAGCATATACCCTCACAGCGTCTTCCACCTGAAGAAGATGCTTCAGGTGGAAGCATTTTCCACCTGAACTCTTTGCAGCCTGACACCATCAGCAGCAGCTCTGATTTAACAAATCAAAGCCTTTTTAGACACTTCATTCTTCATTCCCTGTTGACCCCATTGGCATCGACTTTCTGTCATTACATGCCCTCTTTGTCCCCTTCTGTTGTCGCTGGGCAGCAGGAGACGGCTTCAAAGAAAAAGTTCACATCATCATTTGTGCGCAAAGTCTAAGCATAAGCCACATGAGCCTGACATCAGGAATGAGCACTATGTCTTTTGCTGCTACTGTAAACACAACGATGGAGCAGACAGTTTACACTGGGAACTTCAGATATGAGTGCGTGGGAGGAAGAAATTGAAAGTGTGTATAACTTTTCAAAAAAGATACACACTTAATATTTACGCCAACAGCTTTGATTATCACAATTCATTGTAGAAAATTTAAGCAACGTCACAACATTTATACCCATTCAGAGCTGAATGTTGTTGAAAATGCACAAGTTAAACAACTGTGTAAAGTCTTCTCCAGCAAGGCCGGGAAGATTCATCAGGAACCCAAAAACAATGTCTCATTCTTATCGAATCACTCATTTTAACAGTTTGAGTCTGAATCCTGGAATTGGCAACTAGAATAGGTTCAAACACCATCCAGGAAAAAAAACAAAAAACTAAGTATATTTCATGTAGTCAGCTGACAAAATCATGTGGTCACATGATGTTACTAAACTATTACTTTCTTGATGAAAATTTCCTAAAAATAGAGTAACTTGGCAGTAGATGTGGCAGCTAATCTGTGTTGTGTTTACCACTATGGACTGGTGTTCAGAGGGTTTGAACTTGGACCGGCCATGCGGGGATCTCGCCAGGGCTAAACCTAATTATCTGGCACAGGGCTGGCAGCACTCCTGCCAGCTTGCCTGCTATGCACACCTCGATCTGCCATTGCGTTGGCTGCAACACAAACAATCTAAAGAAGTGGTATTGTGTATTTTCCAGCATATAATGCCATTTGATAGCACAAGCAGAAAATTATGTTAGAAATTATATACATATTATATTATATAATTGTTACTATAATGTTATAATTATATTATTTTTATAAATTATATTATATTGTGATAAAAATCCTGAATGTATCAACCGATTTGACTTTGTAAATTGACACCTTGAAATTAGACCTCTGTCTTTTTAAGAAGCTCCTATTCTTTCTGAAACTCTGCCTTTAGCACATTATTAAAACAATTCTTCTCATAATGCTTTTAATAATCATTCTTAGGAGTGTTGGACTGAGAAGTACTTTGAATAATAAGCTTCACAGATGTGTCGTTCTACTAGGTGTTTGCTAATTACTGGTGCTGTTGCACTGGAGTAGCAGAGAGGAAAAGGGCATTTAATCGGACAGGTAGGTGAAGGCGCTTGCTCGTCAAAGGCACCACAGAAGCCACTTTTGTCTAAGAAAAATGTTAAGAATATTCTGAATTTTTATAGTAAATATAAGGACTATTATTATAGACTATTCATTGTTAATGACACAAGTAAAGACCACTTCAAAAATATCTAATTGGGGGCATTAAGTGGTGCTCAAAGCAGCCATCTTGGGTTCAACTGCCGACCTTGAGACATTTGATGCACATCTTCCTCCCTCCTCCATCTCTGCCCATTTCTCTCTGGTAACTGTCAGTGAAGGCCATTAGAATGATTACAATCTTTAGAGAAAAATAAAGTCTGCTGTGGTACTGGTTTTATTTGTATGGTAAGAAAATGTATGATGTTACAAACTGCAACATCAGTTTATCATTCAAGAAGGCAATAAAAAACATTTTCAGTTAATTTAAAAATAAAAATTTAATGTAAAATGACTTGCAGAAGAAAACGTCCAACATTTCCTTCTTTACTGCATGAATAATAAAAAACATACTATAAACGCTAAGCCACTTGAAAAATCAGGTGTGGCATTAAACCATAACTCATACAGTTTCAGGTAGTACTTTTAAATACAGTTATAACTGATGCAGCTTTCATGAGGCTTCACTGATTCAGTGCTTTGGTGAAAGTGGAAATGTACTAGCTGGCTATGCGTGCACATGATCATGCATGCATGAAAAGCTGTACCGTGTTCTCCATGTGTGTTTGTGCACACATCCACGACCAATCTGTAGTTTGCTTCAGCGGAGGTGAAGTCATGTTGGTCGGTGTCACCACTGATTGAGGACTTGTTTATAGAGCAGGTCTTCAGTCCTGTCTTGTGTACAGCTTTTCATTTAATTTCACAGAAAATTTACTCGTAATTCAAACAGAAGCAGATTTTGTTCCTGAGAGCATGCTGTGGGGTACAACCTCTTTGCTCGACTGGCTGAAAATCTGCTTACAGATAAACCGGTCACATTTCAAACTGTTTTTTTTTTTTCATTTTCTAGACTTGCGTAACGACTGTAGCGACACAGCAGACTCATTTTTTACATTTAGCGGCAAGCATATGATTTATTCTATTATTTTCCTCTAGCCTTGATGACTAGCAGATTGAAAAACATGTAAAATTTCTACCAAATATGGAAAAGAAAAAAATATCCACTTTAATTTTGTCAAATTCTTTGTTGCAAAGATAAATAAACAGTCATTTTGCTTGATTTACTAAAACAAACAACTCCAGGTCAAAGAAGACAAAAAAACATGAAAGTTCAGATCATTTGGAGCCCTGTGAGAGAGCTCCAGGGCTGACTGGCAACTGTCCACGGTCGTGTCTGGAACGCAGCGCTGGTCCCAGGGGTTTGATGTGCACCGGGACCGTGGGACGACGGGTGTTTTGGATTAATGGGGGGAAACACCAGGTCACGAGGGCTTTCTGTTTCTACGAGGTGATAGGGGAGTGGAGTCTCGCTGCGAGCGTTTATTGTTCCCACTGTAGAGAGATGAGTTGGAGGCGTTGTTGTGGGCCTGCTGCTGGGGCAGAGGCAGGCGAGGGTGCAGCGGCCCTCCTCTGAGCAGCACAATATCCCGCACGACGCTGCGGAAAGGTCTGCTGACGAAGCAGTAAAGGAAAAAGTTGACAGCCGTGTTGAGCATGGCCAGCATATTGGACAGGTCGTAGGCCAAGTGGACCCGCCAGTTCTGGTGAACTGAGGAAACATACAGGTGGTAGATGACTACAACAGTCCGAGGAGCCCACAGAACTGAGAACACAGAGGTGAGCGCCAGCAGCATGGCCGTGGTTTTTCCTAGTCGGCGTGGAGGCCCACGCTCCTCTTGGCAGGGCTGATGCCTCTGCCTTATCCTCAGCTTGCGGATTATTAAAGAGTTCAGCACCAAGAAGATGCTGCATGGCAGGAAGTAGATGATAGTAACATGTGTCCATATGAGGACTGCATCCAGCACCGTGGGAAGGTGGCTGTCTCTCCACACGTCTGACCACCAGAAGAAAGGTATGCCCGACATAAGCGACAATACCAGCACCACTGCAATGATCTTCCTGGCCCGTGCCGGGTAGCTGATCTGTCGGTGGAGCAAGGGGTGGCACAGTGCCACATACCGGTCCACAGTAAGGGGTATGGTGGACCAGATGGAGGCATGGTTGGCAGCAAACTCTGCAGCACTGACTACGTGCAGCAGGACGGTAGGGACGTCGCGGTGAAAAACAGCCGTCTCTAGCAGGAATCCAACAAAGATGATGAAGAGCTGGGAAAGGATATCTGAGCCGGTCACTGCTAAGAGGTAGTAGTACAGAGGTTTCTTGGTGCGGCATGCCAGTCTGCACAGGGCCACTGCTGTGAGGATGTTTACTGAAACATCAAACAAAGACAGAAGCAGGAATGTCATCATTTCAGCCACAAAGCAAGAGTGCCTAATTGTGGCCCTCTTGACCTGGTGTCTCACATGCTTTAGTCAAGTTTCTTTTTACAAGAAATCTTTCTGTTGCATTGTTTCAGTTCATTGTAAAGAATTACTGGCATGCTTGCATTTTGTTTAATATCCCCTAGTCATGGATTTTGTGGAACGAAACTCCATATTATTCTCTGAAAATGTGCTTGTTTGTGGATATTCTGTAGAGCGTATCAAAAACATTCAAAATAAATAGTAAATAAATGGTGAAATACCTTAGTAGAACCATTTGACACAAGGTTGGTGATAAGAAGTTTGTGTATATTAGCTTCTGTGCCAGATGGCTCCACTATGCATATCAATACCTTCATTAATTAATTTATATATTTTATATATTCTTATGTTGGAAGAACCAACAGCACACAGCATATGACCAGTATATTATCTAGTTGACCCATTAGCACCAGTAATGTGCCATAAATTTACTTTTCTATTCATTCTCAAGTTATGCCTTTAATATACATACAAACTGTGACTTAGACAAACAGCATACCTGGGACTCCCACACAAAGCAGAACACTGTAGTAAATGACCGGAATGAAGCCCAGGACACATTTGGATCTCTGCAGCTCCTCAGGTTTTAGGCCCAGCTCCTCGTAGCTGGACGCTGTCACATTAGGCCAGTCGATCATGGCCTTTGTGCTTCTTCTGAAGAACAAAACGTAACAAAAAAATACAAGTCAAAGAAAAATCTGTTTAAGTGTTTAAAAAAACAGCATAACATATAAGTGTTGATTATAGATTCTCCTAGAAGTCCTTGTAACAGGATCTTTTGGAAAATCATTGTAGTAGTAATACATGAAAAACATCTGCTCTGATAATTTTTGAGCTGGTAAAATGTCAAAATGTGACTGACTCATTAACTCATTAGCTCATATAACAAGGCACTCTAAAACCATGCTGAAGTTGCTGCACTGCTTTCCCTACCTGACTTCTTCTGTTCATGTTCTGAGCCACAAACGGAGCCTTTAAAACTTTTATTAGTGCTTTCCCTTAGTCACTTTGAGATGCTGACTTTCTTCCTAGGATAGGTCACCAGTCTTACACATGGCAACACAGAAACACAAGACAAACAACCATGCACAAACACACATATGCAACATGCAACCTTTAACAAGCATTTGCAATCATTAGAAATCTACATCTTCCAGGGGCATGAATAATTTCTTTGCTGTAAAAAGTGCAAACATTACAGTAGAAGTCTTCTCTCATGTCCCTGTCAAGTATTTCACTTAGAAAACTACAAAAATTGTGGATGAAATGCTATTCTGTATTGATGACATTTCTGGAACATCTCAGAGAAATATTGTTTGCACAGCCAAACAGTCTCACATATAAACAGTGTCAATCAATGCACTCATTCAATTAAACTGCAGGTTCACAACAACATATGGGGCTGACTCACTGACCCTATTAACCTGCTGTTTCTCAATATATACCGCTGTCTTGCCAGTTTGACCTTTTCACCTAAGTGTTGCTCACCCTTTCTTCATCAGCCAATCCACGACATGCTCTCCTAATTTTCTTCATTCATCCATGTCACCAAATTTGGACTGTATTATCTCTCAGCCATGTGCGGATACACAGCAAGTATAAACAGCACTTTAAAGTCAACTCATTCATGCTGTTTCCCCTGATGCGAGCAGGGCAATCACCACTACAAGCAGTTTGTCGTATTTAATTAAAGCCATCGTAAAGGTTGTTCATGTGCCAAAACCCTTCACAGGCACTGGATGACTGGCACATTTAGTGCCTTTAGAGGTAATTTGATAACAACACCGAGGGGCATTGAATTACTTGGTGGATGGCTGCTTTATTTCATCTTAGCACTGCCTGAACCAATTTGCAGTTATGAAGATCAATGTTATTCATGGCATATAAAGAGAACAGGTCAGCAGGAATAGGACAGCTTCATGTCCTTCTGAAATGAGTTCCTCGAGATCTGCAGGCATTCTGCAGTAGAACCACTGATCCTTAACACTGAATCGATCCACATTTGCTTGTCGGCTCTTCAGCACCAAAAAGTTCCCGTTCACAGGCACAGATACTCAATATTTCCTCAAAAGCTAAGGTTTCTTAACTGTTTCATTGCAAAAACCTTTCATGATTCCCCAAACTCATAATAAGACATTTTAAAACTAAAACAATTTTGCTAAACCTTGAGTTAGCTTTAAGATTTGACATGAAACAGGAATGATTTTGTTATAATTTTCTGAATCTAACTGATCTTTTTCTGACTGCATCATCCCAAAGCTTCAAATATGTGCAGAAAGACTTACTAATTAAAAGATGTTCATTCTTTGTATCTCATTTTATTGTTAGTGTGAAGTTTTGCCATCTGCTAGCTCAGAAGGGGAATTTCAAAGTTTCATCAAATGCTACTATTTGAGCAGAATTTAAAAGGATAATCAAAAACCCTTTTAATTACCCTTAAAAGAGTAACTAAATACACAAAGTTAAAACTCTGTGTGTTCACTGTTAACTTTGTCCGCTCATCATCTCTGTGGCACTTAATGCCTATGGATCATTATTATATTAGTAATTTGATAAAGCTTTGATAATTATATTTGACTTTGAGTTTTTGTGAAATTTGCTTCTTTTTATTTTTTTTGCGATATGTGTGCAGCTTGGTGGAGGAAAGTTTTTTGTGCGGCGCAACCTTTCAGCCCCAACTAACCGTACCCTTTGAGGGAAAGGTTGCAGAGTTACCCATTACCTGTTTGTCAGTCAATGCACTCATTCACCAGTGCGCAAAGCAACAACCATAAAGACACAGGTAGCAAGCATGGTGTGGAAGAACTTGACTTAGATGTACACAGTCCTGACATCAAAGTTATAGAACATATTTTGGGTGAAGTAGAGTGGAAACTGTGAACCAGGTCAACATTATTGTCTGAGCTTACAAATGCATTTCTGAAGGATGATCAAAAATCCTAGTTAACTTTTATATAAGTCATATATAAAAGACTTCCTGGAAGATTTAAACCTATTGTAGCTTTAATAAACTTTTAATCAAAAATGTGATGTCATTGAAGTTTATGTGTGAAGGCAGTTGCCTCAGTACCTTTGGCACTATGACATGCTCCACCAGATGAAATGACATGGTTACGGGCTTTGAGAGACAGATGCTATTGAGATAAGAGATACTGAAATTTTAAAATGTGCAATGTTTTGTATCACAAGATTTTAATGCACTGTATTTTGAATGAATTTGGACATTTGGGAATGTTAGATTTAGCTAGTTACTGTCTAACTGACAGTAAAAGCAAACATGAAAGATGCAGATAAACATGAAGCCTGTCAGCTCTTCAGCACTGATTCACGTTACAAATAAAATCAATATTATATTGTGATCTTTCTATTTTATTTAAAGGAAAAAAAATAGTAAAATGAGGATTGGTTTCTTTCAAGCTTTTCTGTCATGCAGAAATAATGTCTATATGGCTTTAAGAGACTGAACAGAGGAACATCTGCAAGGTCAGGAGGAAGGGACAAAGACACGCTGAGACATTTACGTAACATTCATCTGACCAAAGCACCAGAACATGACTTTCGGTTACTGTTTTGTCAAGACTGAACTCTCGCAGAGACTTCAATCCAGGACCATAAATAGCTGCCATTTCCCTGAACTTTTGGAGGAAACAAGAGATTAGACTTGTTCCAGATTCTTGCTTTTTTAGGCAGTTTGTTTATCGATAAAAACCTTCTCCCATTTCACTCTTCTTTATCAAATAGCATGAGATAAAATGTCCTCTCCTGTGTTAATAGGCACACACGGCTCCTGCAGGAGGTGAAGTGTGTGTTTACAGGGATACATTATTCCTTCATTGTGTGACACAAGGTGCCACAGTCTTACAAACAGCATGTGGCATCTGCAGTCCTGCATGACATCCCAGATGTTTTTAATTCACATTTAAAATAGTAATCTTTCTGCCTGCTTTCTCCACAGTAAAAGCAAAGTCATTTAAGTTTTTATTTTTTTAAATAATCGAAATGAATCAAATTACATTTTACAGCATGTCTGCTGCAGAAGTTGACTAAATTTCCGTCCTATTTATTTATTATTTTGTACACTGCTTTGTAAACAAACTTGTGCTGTTTACATTTCTCCACATTTTGTCACATTAAATGTGACTACTAATCGTAATTGGGCAGTGGAAGGAAAATAGCTCAGGACCCTCAAAATGTCTCCTGCACTTTCTGTTTCAGGTCAATTCAATCCAATAATATAGACAAAGTCAAAACCAATTATATAAATCACATTTTGATTTTAGATATAAAGTGCAGCAGAGTTTATAAATACAATACTTTCTCTACATTTGGAGCTTAATTTGAAGACTTTTACTAACACTCAGCCTGTGAAGACACCTGATCTGTTTCCTCACGTGCCTCGGCTCAGGACCAGAAATGAGAAAGATGATCACCATGAATGAGAAGGTCGTGAGGCTGCTGGCTAAAAGTGAGACAAAAGACCTGCAAACTCTCGTGGTGATCAATAATCCTGCAGACATCCTGCAGACCAAAGAAAATCTCCTTTATCTCAGATGTTTTTCTGACACCTTCATTCCCGAGAGTGCTGTGGATTCTGGAAGGAGAGAACGACCGTTCTCACTCCAGGTATGTTTTATTATATCATCCTTCAGGCAGCAAGATGTATTGCACAGGCAATAAAACTACTCAAAGTCTCAACAGAATCATCTCCACCTTTCAGCGGAGGAGTGTTTGAATAGATGAGCTCCATCAGATCAGTGGGATGGTCCTTACTGACAGAAAAGTTATTCTCGAGATGCAGCTGGAGGCTGCAGGATGCGGCTCTGCGGGGGGCTTCGGAGCCCAGGATGGCGAACCAAACTCTGCCTGCACATCTCTCAATTATTCATCACCTGAAACAACAGTGCTTTAAGACATTGTGTGCTCACAACCTAACTGCACAGCAGCTGGTGTTTTACATGACAACAGGGCTCATGTCTTTAAGTGTTTTGGAGGAAAGTGATTTTTTTTTTAATGTATTATAGGGAGAAGAAAAATAATAAGAAGAAGTCCTGAGAAAATGAGCCGCCAACAGATGACAGTGGGAAAAAATGTCTGTGCAAATTGATTACTGAGTCGGATGCCAAAATTCTGACCTGCGGTTGGAGCGCAGAAGAAGAGTGAATCCAGGAGTACTTCCTGACATCAGATATGATGATGAATGGGTTTCAGGAAAAAAAAAAGTTTGGGTAAAATAACAAGAAACTAGTTCAAGTCAACTTATAAAACTGAGGAAATGCAGGCTTGCTTTCTTGAGAAACTTATGATTCGAAAATTTCTCCCTATCCAGACAATCATTTAAGTGTAAAAGCCTGGACTGCACTTAAAAATGAATTCTTTTAACATTTATTAGCACGAGTTCCCAATCTGCTATCTTACCTTCAGATCCAGTTTTCAGGGTGTTTCTCTCCTCCTGGATCACAGCAGGTCCACTTTAGCGTCGCTCCCCCCAAACGCTCCTTCAGAGTCCCTGCTGGACGACCAGTAAGGAGACACGGAGGAAGATGAGGAGGAGGAGCTGGGGAGTCCAGGCAGCCGCTGCATCGCTGCAACAACAAAACTGAGGGAGCGGGGAGAAATGAGGCAAAAGAGGAGCGAGGGTGAGAGGAGGAGACTGATGTGTGAAGAAGGAGGGAACGGATCAGATGAAGTGGAGAAAATGAAGGGAAACCACACTGAGCCTGACAGGGGATATAAAATGGTCATTTTTCATGCTCATGGATCTAATGGGGATTTAGTCTGAAGTGTTTTCATGCTGGAAAAATGACAAAATAAATAAAGTCAGAGCTTTCAGACTAACTCTGCTGCCAAATTCTAAATTCTATACCAACCTCATTCAGCTGAATTATATGACACTGCTGAGAAAATCCAGAGGTCTGACCAGCAGTAATTTGAGATGGTATTTATTCTGTCTTTTTTTCTTATTATTTGAATTCTGATTAATCATGATTCTTAAGGGGAAAAAAGAAGCAATACAAATGAGCCATTTTCCCACTTGATTCTTTCTTCTATATACCCTGCAATATGACTTTTCAGGATTTATGGAGCCTTCTTTTGGATTCTGTGGTCTGTGGGTGAACTTGGTTGGACAGTTACACCTGGACAGGTTGGTTGTCAATCTCCTCTGTGTACTGAAATTGCAAATTATTATTATTATTATTTTTAAAACCCTTATAAACTTCAAAGGTCCTTCTCAGGGCCTCAAACAACTTTGTCAATAATACCACTGTGTTCATTAACCACATCAACAGTCAGGAGCAGACCAAATTAAATGTCTGAGGTATAAACAAGGCCTCTTTTGAAATGATGTATATGTGCAATTTTAGGTGTTTTAAAGAGAGAATATATATAGGAGTGTTTTAATTTGTTCCTCACACAAATCTTCTAATTGCATTTTACAGAAAATATTTTTATTGTTTATTTTCAGCATCATTAAAGCTGACATTAAATATTCGTATGACCAGAGGCCTTTTCTCTCTAATTTCAAAACACTTTCCCTGCTCTTATTTATTTAATATCAGATTATTCAATTCTATTCAAGCTGACTTATTTTAAGCTGTTCTGACTCATACCTGGATGTAACAGCAGAATTGTAAGGCAACTCAATGTCAGAGTCAAGTTAAGTTGAATAATTGCATTATTGATGTCAGAGCGAGAAAGAAAATCTCAGTTCAGTCTTTCTTCTGTTTTTGGATCTTTACATTTCACTCGATGGGAACTGATATTTTCAAAAGCAGGTTATTTTACACAGCTTTTACTATTATCATATATTTCTCAAGGTCAGTTCCTCTCCACCTCCACACATTTTCCTCCCTGCAGGCAGGGAGGAAAATGCAGGGGGCTAGAAGATGAGTTTAGTGTCATCATTTCCATTTGCACCAGCAGTGTATAACCAATTAGACTGAGCTGAGTCATCAGTGTCCTTCTCCAAATGACCAAATGTATTTATTGGGTCATTTATTAAATCAGTCATTAAATCTGTTTTGTTTCTAAGGCAGAAGTGATTTGTTACAGGAGCCACACAAATCCAAAACTTCAAAATGAAATGGTAACCTTTAGAAAACTTCGTTTAGTGACTGATAAAAAAAACCCAGCAGCTTACCATGCAAACATGGAAAGGTCAGTTTACAAAAATAAAAATGTTAAATGCACAGTAAAGTAATTGAATTCAATCATCTGGATATCAGGATGATGAGCAGAGCTGGGGGCCCATCTTTCACTCTGAGCAGAGCAAAAGATGTTTATTTATTACGTTGTCTCTTTTTCTGATGATTATAGTCAGTGTCACTGTCTTATTTGTCACTTTTGTTTATCAGTTTTTGTTTATTTTGATGCGGTAAAGCATCAATTTAATTGAGAACTTCTTCCTCTGTCCTCCTCAGTCTTCATATCAAATCAGTATCATTATCACAAGCACAAAGTTTTATTTTGGACGAAATAATGGAAAGAATTCTGTTACATTTGTTGCAAAAATGTCAGTGAAATCTTTAAATCAAAAAGAAATTCTTTGAACTAGAAATTATGCTAAAAGAAAGAAAGAAACAAAGATCAAATTTGTTGATAAAATAAATTTATCATAAACTAGATAGGTTTTCCATCATCATAGGAAAATATTGTCAAGTAAATAAATAGGTAACCTGATATTGTGGTTTATTGCATGTTGAACCTCACTGTTGTTTCATCCAATCTAAACACTATACAATTTACATACAGTCAGTTAGAACTATATCACTTAGAAGCCTGACAATTAGAAAACAAATTCTGTAAAATTTTTATATCTATGTCTCTGAAAATACCTTATTCAGTTGTGCTTCATAATTTAAATGTATACAATCGTAAGAAAAGTCTCAATTTAGTTTTTCTAAAATGAGAATCACCTGTAGGCACATTTGGGTGGCTTTTCAAAAAAGGCAGAATCAAAGATGTCAGAGGAAAAAGATATGTTGACCTTTTCAGAGACATGAATTAAGATGTCTATAGTAAAAGATCCAGATACTCTCTTGACTGTCTGAAGTGATGGGTACATGGTTTCCTGTCTTGTGTCAGGAGAAAGGAACTGAACAGGAGACAGCTCCTTCAGCTCAGGTTTATATTTAATCAAAACCTGGAACACATTAAAAACATCGCTAATGCCGACTGTCAATGGAAAGATGAAATTTTAGAAATATTTCAGCTGAATAGCTAAACATTGAAAGATAGAGGCTTTTAATGATGTAATAAGCACAAAGAAATGTTAAAGAAATAAAACGAATCTTTGGTGGGGTTTTGTGCTGCCTTATAACATGAATGGGAGGACAATGACACAGAAAATGATCCAAAATAATGCTATTTTGTCAAGAAGATACAAATGAGATTTTCTGTTATTTTGGTGTGAGAATAATGTCATGCTGCATGTTTTTAAAGTGGGACTAAAGCAGAGTGGAAGGAAGCAGATGATTTTGAAATATTTAATGAAACATTACTGAAAAGGCAAACTTAAAAAATTCATAAATCCAAAGCTGAACAAAAATAAACCCTGAAAAAAAAAACCCAGGAGACACAATGAGAAATCAGGAAAACTTCAAAAAAAAACTTTGGAGATTAAACAGAGAAAAGATGGGAGGAGACATGAGGATCCGGCAGGAAGTGAGTGAGAATGAGAGGCTTAAATGGTGGGGAGGTTGAATGCTGAACAAGAGTTGAGGGAGCAGGAGGCAGATTGAGGAGGCAGAGAAAGAAAGTGTAAGAGGCTTGAGGAAGAGTACAAAGAGGAACAATGAATAATAATAAACACTAAAGAATAACTGAACTAAAAAAGAAAACTAGTAAAACTATAGTAACACAGAATAACTATAAGAAATCAACATAAGTAGAAACAATACAAAGAACTGAAATAAAGCAAAACAGGAACATACCTGTATCCATGTATGCAGGTATTTTAGTCCAGTTTGCCATAAATATTCCAAGAACTGTGAATATATGAGAACGTCTTTCAACACCTAAATAGTACAAAGGCATTAAGTTTTATATATACAAAACAAAAGTGTTGACAAGATGTTGACAAAAATGTCAACATCTTAGACTAGGTTTTCCTCTGAGGCATTCAAGCTTAACGCTCAGTGAGGAGCTGCATTAAATAAGAGGAAGTCTGAGCTTGGAGTTGTTCTTTTTTGGCTTTGAAGCATTTATTAAACAAAATAAAAATAGGCAAAATGTGGAGGTAAAAGTAAATGAAAATGTCACAGATACTGCACGAATGATTTTACTACGTCAGATAGGGGTATAATAAAAGTAGTCAAACATCGAGAATGTAAAACCCTGAAACAGAATGATGAATACCTTCAATAAATGAAAATCAGAAACATTTGGATTTAATTTTTATTATATAAAATAAGGTATGTATATAAATTAAGTAAATGAATTCATATTTACAATGCAATGTGCACAAACAAAAAAACGTGTTATTTGCCCTGAGATTGGGACACAATGGTGTGTAATGTCCTCTGGGAGCGACAGCCTGCAGCAGCTTTCTAATTTCTCTCACGTATTCTTTGCAGCATTTGAAGCTAACATGATTACATGGTAGGAAATCGGCACCATCAGTAGATCTGGGAGCTGAGTTGTTGTTCTTAGCAAGACAAATGTCTCCTTAATTTAACTAAACTCTTAAAGGAAGCACGTCTCAGGGCAGCAAATTGTTGATGATAGCAGAGCTCCAAAGCAAACAGCGCGTCAAACAAGCAGATCTGAACACCTAATTCATCTAAAGTGTGCTGAGAAACCATTTAAAAACCTGGTCTGTATGAGAGCTTGCTTTGAGCCAACATGGCTGACCCTCGCCTTACAGTCGCATATCAATGTGTGTTTATCTGACATACACTATTATAGATGTGATCTTGCCCTGCAGCAGAGGTCGGTCAGCCCAATAATGAAGCATGCAGCAGATGATAATGCACAGTCACAAATCTTTGCCAATCAGAAGAAGGAAAAGAAATACATGTTTCTCTCCTTTTATAAATCGGAATAACAACGCCAACAACAAAAAAAAGCAACATCTTAGACTAGGTTTTCCTCTGTATAATGCATTTGTAAAGTTTGACTAATGGTGGTTCATTTTCCGTCAGTGTTGAAAATGATCTTACTTTTCAACACCCCATTCATGCAAACCACTGTCTTTAAATAAAAGCAGAGTAGAAGTGTCAGACCAGTGGTGTTGCCAGAGACAGAGGTATAAGCTAATCTCTAGCCAACAGCTGCACAGCATAATGCTGCTACTCCCAAGATTCACCGTAGGGCAAGTGCTTTAAGGATGATGGGAATTATTGTTTTTAATCTACAAAAAGTGATTTGCATTGACAACATACCCCTTGTCAGCTAATCAATGAAAGAAAAATAAGATAAAATTGGGGATATATCTGTAAATCTTATTATAAAATGAAATTAAT